ACTTACCTGCCCTAATGAGAGAGTTAGAGAGCCAAATAATAATGCCACGGTGCCAATAATTCCACCGTGCCAATAAAGAAACTTACATGCCAAAAAAAAAAGAAATTTTCAAGCCAAATAAGAATGTTATGGAGCCAAATAATAATTTCACAGTGTCAATAAAGAAAGATACAGGCCAAAAGACATAAATTTTCAAGCCAAATAGAATGTTATGGAACCAAATAATAATCCCACCGTGCCAATGAAGAAACTTACATGCCAAATAAGAAATTTACATGCCAAATAAGGAAGTTTTAGAGCCAAATAATAATTCCACAGTGCAATGTAGAAAGTTACATACCGAATAAGAATACTATCGAGTAGTAAAAATAACGTAACAATTAAAAATGAGAATGTTACTGAGCCAAATCGGGTTGTCTGAATGGACAATATGATAACACATACAAGAAGGTGTCTAGTTGAAAACCTTCGCATTATGTATTAGAAGCAAAGACAAGGAAAGCTACCTATTTCTATACATTGTAAATGGTCAAGGCGTCAGATTGTGTTCAATATTTGATGTTTTGGTGTATCAATTTAATCATGCCATATCACTTTACATTTTGTTAAGGCACTAAAGTTACACGAGGGGGAAACATACAAGTTTTACAGTAAATGTCAGAGGGCTGTAAGTGTCGAGTTTTTTGACGAACGAAATCTCAGAAACAGCTATTACAGGACATAAATAGTGGGAGTTAGGGGTGAGTAGGGTTGGGTGTGTGTGTGTGGGGGGGGGGGGGGAATTAGGTTAACGCCCCCAAAAAGTCCCTATTTAAGACTTGACGGTCCTAACAACAGATGACTCACAGTTCATCTATTACTATGGAGTACTTGGCATATGATGATAATGTGCGATTCGCCGACTCTACTTCACCCAACTCGAGTCAGCCCCGGAACCGACAACTCGAAGTTTTCGGATTTAAAAAATGTGTGGTCTCTTGGAAACAAAAAAAAAAAAAAAAAAAAACCCCACTCAAAAACAACGGTACACTATTTCCCTGTATTTCTTTTATGACGGTGTTGTAACTAACTTGTATAGATACTTTTTGAAATAAAAAAAAACAACAATTCAGTACAGGTAGATCTATCAGTTATTTTTTTAGATTGGTGTTTGTGTTTTCTAGATCTGTGTTAAAACAATACGGTATCGAGTATTTTCCTGCCAGTATCAATTGTATTAACAGAAATGCCAACAAAACATGAATCTGGTACTGCACTGACACTCTCAGTGCAAGAAGGGCACATCTTTTTTAAAAACCTGTTTTTTCCTAAGTTAACTAGTTTAGCCGTTTCTCTTATTGTGGGTGCGCGTGAGTAGTTTTGCGCGTGTGAGAGTGTTTGTGTGAGCAGAGAAAAGCGTTTGGTCTTTAAAAATAGCACAAGTTTTGGTAGAAAAAAAAATATTAGAAAAAAAAAATAGCACACGTTTTGGTAGAAAAAAAATTGTCACAAATTGTTTTTTTTTTCGAAAAAAAAAACAACTGAATACAAAAATATACTTTAAAAATAACAAAATGTAATTCTTAGAATAAATATGTTTATGTATACTCACTTAGCGCAAGTTATGCATATTAAACAAAGTGAATACGGAGCCATATGCATAAGGGGAAAAAATCCTACTCTACACATAAGATTATAGATCTACTGCTGATATGATTTCATGCAATAATCACTTGATCAAAGATCATAGACCAAAAAAAAAACATGTAAAAAAATAGTTTTTTTGATTAATAATCCAGATCAAGCACTAGAATAAAGATCTAGCTCTAGATCTAACACTTGGCGAAATATCGCTCACGGGTGCAAGATCACACAAAAGATCATACTAGACGAGGATCACAAACAGTAAGATAAAACAAACATTACATCTTACCCTACACAAAAAAGATCTTCAGATTTTCAAAAATATCAAATCAAATCATCCAACAACGTTTAGAAAAAAAATAAAATAAACTTGTGGACGTATCACCATAGTAACGAACAGCGTTGACAAGAATTGGTTAGACAAGGTGTTGTGTCCCTTGCATATATACCGCGGCTAATCAGGAGGTCAGGGGTCATGTTTATATAAGAAAGTTTAGGCAAGTATGAAACCCACCTCTCTCGAGTATGTTCCGGCCGTACGTCACGCCGCCGCTTCATTCACCAAATTGCGCTGGCGAGGAGGCGAGGAGGAAAAAAAAAAACAACAAACGCCAGCGAAGACGACCAATCGTAAGCCAGGATACGTAACCCTAGACTCCGCCCCTTTTCTGGTCCCAAATATGCCCTTTTGTTTTAGCGATACTGTGCGTGGGAGGGTGAGGATGGGAGGGTGAGGATGGGAGGGTGAGGGTGGGAGGGTGAAGAAGACACCGGTCGTGTTAGCCAGCACGCACCCGCCACTGCAACCTACGTAAGAAAAAAAAAAAAAAACAATTTTTTTCAGGGAGGGGGGTGTAATTATTTCGTAAGGGCCCTTAACGCTGTGTCGGCCCTTGAGTAAGAGAGAGCCCTCGAGTTACTGCCCCTCGCCCACTCAATCAATACGATACAGCTCAGGGCCCCGCTGGAGGACTGGATAAGGACCTGGGCGGCCGTTTGGTTGACACGATTTCAACTCTGGACACGTGACTTTAGTCATCCGCACATCGGCGACTGCGACCCGCACGTTCAAATCGACATTTTTTTTAATGAATATAAATTTAAAAAATATATTTTTAAAAATTATTTTTAAAACAAGCAGTTTTAACAACAGTTACAACTACATTTTTTTTTGTTTTCCTTGAATCAGATGCCGCGCCTGTTTTCGACCCATCCGATGGCGCTTGTATATATATATATATATATATATATATATATATATATATATATATATATATATATATATATATATATATAGTGTTTTTTTAATTATTTTTTTTGTTTGAATTTTTTTTTTTAAATTTCAATTTACCGTAAATATTGATCCATGCAATACGTATTTGAATGCCATGGTGTAGGCCAACTATCAGTAGAAGCCGGTCACTCGCTAAGTGTAGGTCTAATTGATTCCAACCTTAACATTAACATGTAACCATATAAACCAAGATAAAAAGTCAACCCCATCTCAAATATGGAGGGGGAGGGGGGTCATCAATAAGTGACGTCATGCTTTTTGTGATGATTTTCACCTCTTCCGTAACGTCACACATCGTCGCAAAAAGTCAGCCCCACCCCACCCGAAAATGACGTCACATCTATGGCCAAAACCCCCCTCAAAATTGAACTTTCAATTTTTTTATTTTAAATCGATATCTTTCGAAAATATTGACTGCGCCGAGTCAACAATGTGATTTAAAAAAAAAAAAAAAAAAAAAAAAAACTAAACAAAACACAAATAAATTAAAAAAAAAAAGTTTTCCAAAACGCAAAATAACGGCTTAAAACTCATTTTCTGACACTACTTTTTTTAAAATGCAAAAGTGTAGCGTCCCAATTACTGACCCATCCCCACCCCTCTGCTTGCCCCCCCCCCCCCCCCCCTAGGAGTGTAAAGTTTACCAGGTCAATAAAGTCATTTTGTTGAGTTTTCTATTTAAAACACAGAAGAAAGACCAAACTAACCCCCCACCCCCTTTAACCACTAATGAACACTCACACAAGTGCTACTGCCCCCCCCCCCCCCACCTTTAACCACTAATGAACACTCACACAAGTGCTACTAAGACAGTACAAACGTCCACCCAGTGTGTAAATAAGGGAGACAAACCAGGAGTCATTTCTAGGAGGGGGAGTGCACTGATGGCGCCTAGCTTTGTGGGTTCGGGATTGGCAAGGTTTTGCGGAGAAAATCCCGAGTAGCCGGAAAAGTTTCTGTTTTAGGCCTGATTGGTCTGACGCCTCACGGAACTGACATTTGACGGAACTAACACCTGACGGAACTAACTAACACCTGACGGAACTAACTAACACCTGACGGAACTGACACCTGACGGAACTAACTAACACCTGACGGAACTGACACCTGACGGAACTAACTAACACCTGACGGAACTGACACCTGACGGAACTAACTAACACCTGACGGAACTAACACCTGACGGAACTAACACCTGACGGAACTAACTGACACCTGACGGAACTGACACCTGACGGAACTAACTGACACCTGACGGAACTAACACCTGACGGAACTAACACCTGACGGAACTAACGGACACCTGACGGAACTAACACCTGACGGAACTAACATCTGACGGAACTAACTAACACCTGACGGAACTAACTAAAACCTGACGGAACTAATTAACACCTGACGGAACTAACTAACACCTGACGGAACTAACACCTGACGGAACTAACTAACACCTGACGGAACTAACTAACACCTGACGGAACTAACTAACACCTGACGGAACTAACACCTGACGGAACTAACACCTGACGGAACTATTTAACACCTGACGAAACTAACGGACACCTGACGAAACTAACTAACACCTGAAGGAACTAACACCTGACGTAAACTAACACCTGATGGAACTAACACCTGACGGAACTAACTAACACCTGACGGAACTAACACCTGACGGAACTAACACCTGACGGAACTAACTGACACCTGACGGAATTAAGTAACACCTGACGGAACTAACTGACACCTGACGGAATTAAGTAACACCTGACGGATGGACCACGACAAGTATGTTGCAGGTATACTGTCACTGTGACCGTCTAACTTTCCGACATCGCCCTCCATGCCGCGTGGTTTCGAACCCGATTACCAAATAAACTCGGTGGTATTCGAACCCGCGCTATCTGTCTGCCAGTTACACCAGGGCGTGTCTCGACCACAAATTATCGTATCTTCCGCTGTGTTTAAATCTCAACGTTTTTGTTTGTTTTTGTAAATGACGTCTGCGTTTGACCTTTTGACCTTTACCCCTTGTGGGCCAGTGATGTAACAACGGAGGATTGTGGTATGGCTGCAGCTAACGATAATGGCTGTTGGCATTGGGCGGGAAGACGTCAACATTAGACCACGTGCTGCGAGTGTTAGTCATGTGACAGGTCAGATGGGAAGGGGGGGGGGGAATTACGTCACCGCCGATGGCTCAGAGGCCATCTTTGACGGAGCTGGAACAATATTGACAGTGGTGATAGGCAAGACTTAGACAGTGGTGATAGGCAAGACTTAGACAGTGGTGATAGGCAAGACTTAGACAGTGGTGATAGGCAAGACATAGTGGTGATAGGCAAGACTTAGACAGTGGTGATAGGCAAGACTTAGACAGTGGTGATAGGCAAGACTTAGACAGTGGTGATAGGCAAGACATAGTGGTGATAGGCAAGACTTAGACAGTGGTGATAGGCAAGACTTAGACAGTGGTGATAGGCAAGATTTAGACAGTGGTGATAGGCAAGACTTAGACAGTGGTGATAGGCAAGACTTAGTGGTGATAGGCAAGACTTAGACAGTGGTGATAGGCAAGACTTAGACAGTGGCGATAGGCAAGACTTAGACAGTGGTGATAGGCAAGACATAGTGGTGATAGGCAAGACTTAGACAGTGGTGATAGGCAAGACTTAGACAGTGGTGATAGGCAAGATTTAGACAGTGGTGATAGGCAAGACTTAGTGGTGATAGGCAAGACGTAGACAGTGGTGATAGACAAGACATAGTGGTGATAGGTAAGACTTAGACAGTGGTGATAGGCAAGACATAGTGGTGATAGGCAAGACTTAGACAGTGGTGATAGGCAAGACTTAGACAGTGGTTATAGGCAAGACTTAGACAGTGGTGATAGGCAAGACTTAGACAGTGGTGATAGGCAAGACTTAGACAGTGGTGATAGGCAAGACTTAGACAGTGGTGATAGCCAAGACTTAGACAGTGGTGATAGGCAAGACTTAGACAGTGGTGATAGGCAAGACTTAGACAATGGTGATAGGCAAGACTTAGACAGTGGTGATAGGCAAGACTTAGACAGTGGTGATAGGCAAGACTTAGACAGTGGTGATAGGCAAGACTTAGACCGTGGTGATAGGCAAGACTTAGACAGTGGTGATAGGCAAGACTTAGGCAGTGGTGATAGGCAAGACTTAGACAGTGGTGATAGGCAAGACTTAGACAGTGGTGGTAGGCAAGACTTAGACAGTGGTGATAGGCAAGACTTAGACCGTGGTGATAGACAAGACTTAGACCGTGGTGATAGGCAAGACTTAGACAGTGGTGATAGGCAAGACTTAGACAGTGGTGATAGGTAAGACTTAGACAGTGGTGATAGGCAAGACTTAGACAGTGGTGATAGGCAAGACATAGTGGTGATAGGTAAGACTTAGACAGTGGTGATAGGCAAGACTTAGTGGTGATAGGCAAGACTTAGACAGTGGTGATAGACAAGACATAGTGGTGATAGGTAAGACTTAGACAGTGGTGATAGGCAAGACATAGTGGTGATAGGCAAGACTTAGACAGTGGTGATAGGCAAGACTTAGACAGTGGTTATAGGCAAGACTTAGACAGTGGTGATAGGCAAGACTTAGACAGTGGTGATAGGCAAGACTTAGACAGTGGTGATAGGCAAGACTTAGACAGTGGTGATAGCCAAGACTTAGACAGTGGTGATAGGCAAGACTTAGACAGTGGTGATAGGCAAGACTTAGACAGTGGTGATAGGCAAGACTTAGACAGTGGTGATAGGCAAGACTTAGACAGTGGTGATAGGCAAGACTTAGACAGTGGTGATAGGCAAGACTTAGACCGTGGTGATAGGCAAGACTTAGACAGTGGTGATAGGCAAGACTTAGGCAGTGGTGATAGGCAAGACTTAGACAGTGGTGATAGGCAAGACTTAGACAGTGGTGGTAGGCAAGACTTAGACAGTGGTGATAGGCAAGACTTAGACCGTGGTGATAGACAAGACTTAGACCGTGGTGATAGGCAAGACTTAGACAGTGGTGATAGGCAAGACTTAGACAGTGGTGATAGGTAAGACTTAGACAGTGGTGATAGGCAAGACTTAGACAGTGGTGATAGGCAAGACATAGTGGTGATAGGTAAGACTTAGACAGTGGTGATAGGCAAGACATAGTGGTGATAGGCAAGACTTAGACAGTGGTGATAGGCAAGACTTAGACAGTGGTGATAGGCAAGACTTAGACAGTGGTGATAGGCAAGACATAGTGGTGATAGGTAAGACTTAGACAGTGGTGATAGGCAAGACATAGTGGTGATAGGCAAGACTTAGACAGTGGTGATAGGCAAGACTTAGACAGTGGTGATAGGCAAGATTTAGACAGTGGTGATAGGCAAGACTTAGACAGTGGTGATAGGCAAGACTTAGACAGTGGTGATAGGCAAGACTTAGTGGTGATAGGCAAGACTTAGGACAGTGGTGATAGGCAAGACTTAGACAGTGGTGATAGGCAAGACTTAGACAGTGGTAATAGGCAAGACTTAGACAGTGGTGATAGGCAAGACTTAGACAGTGGTGATAGGCAAGACTTAGACAGTGGTGATAGGCAAGACTTAGACAGTGGTGATAGGCAAGACTTAGACAGTGGTGATAGGCAAGACTTAGACAGTGGTGATAGGTAAGATTTAGACAGTGGTGATAGGCAAGACTTAGACAGTGGTGATAGGCAAGACATAGTGGTGATAGGCAAGACTTAGACAGTGGTGATAGGCAAGACATAGTGGTGATAGGCAAGATTTAGACAGTGGTGATAGGCAAGACTTAGACAGTGGTGATAGGCAAGACTTAGACAGTGGTGATAGGCAAGACTTAGTGGTGATAGGCAAGACTTAGGACAGTGGTGATAGGCAAGACTTAGACAGTGGTGATAGGCAAGACTTAGACAGTGGTGATAGGCACGACTTAGACAGTGGTGATAGGCAAGACTTAGTGGTGGTAGGCCAGACTTAGACAGTGGTGATAGGCCAGACTTAGACAGTGGTGATAGGCAAGACTTAGACAGTGGTGATAGGCAAGACTTAGACAGTGGTGATAGGCAAGACTTAGACAGTGGTGATAGGCAAGACTTAGACAGTGGTGATAGGCAAGACTTAGTGGTGGTAGGCAAGACTTAGACAGTGGTGATAGGCAAGACTTAGTGGTGGTAGGCAAGACTTAGACAGTGGTGATAGGCAAGACTTAGACAGTGGTGATAGGCAAGACTTAGGCAGTGGTGACAGGCAAGACTTAGGGCAGGTCGGCCACACAGCGACAGGTGAGAGAGTTGAGTGTGGTACATGGGTGGTCAATTAATGACGTCATGTATTTTAAGCCTGAGTTGCATCCCTCGTTATGGTCACACGTAGCAAGCCCCCCCGGTTGAAACAAAAAAATTAAAAGCTCATTTTAGCTGCAGTTTTGTATTATACATATAAAAAAATAATTCATAAAAAACGTTTTAATAACAAGCTTTTATGTAATGATGCACTAAAAAGTAGAAAATAAATTATACACTACTATTTAAATTACTGCAAAGAAAAGCGCGGGTCACTTTAGTACCTATTGGATACCTTTACTAATATTTGAGAAGAGACCCACGCTTTTCTTTATAGTAATTTAAATAGTAGTGTATAATTTATTTTCTACTTTTTAGTGCATCATTACATAAAAGCTTGTTATTAAAACGTTTTTTATGAATTTTTTTTTCAGTACTTTACATGTTTTATTTACAATAGTGTTACATGACTAAAAACCATTGCGCGTCTATTAAACGTGATGGCGCAGCTATTAAACCTGATGGCGCAGCTATTGAACGTGATGACGCGTGTGGTGTGGTTGGATAGACATGCCTACTAATTCGGTCCAAATTTTAATTAATTGATACAAAATTAATTAGGCATCCAATTAAGTCAAATTTAATTTCATATTGCATTGTCTTCATGTCTTGACCCACGTGTCAAATGTGAATCGTAGAAGTGTCCGAATTTTCACTCCTGCGTTTCGATCTAGACAGACAGACTGTCGACTGACGACTGACGACAGAGGAAGTGAGTTAAATAAAAGCTTGTAAAAATGGGGTGGGGGGGGGGGGGGGGAAGGGGCAAATTGAAAGTTTGTTCCCGGGCGCCGGGAAGGGAGCTACGCCTCTGCCACACATACACACACATACACACACATACACACACATATACATACACACATACACATATTATAAAAATAATCTCGCATATTGAAGTATGTTTATGTATATTTATCTTCATGTATATTTTTCTGTCTTTTGAGGAAAACTTATGACATACAGTTTCTATTCGGATTTCTTAAACTAAAGTTAAGACAAAATACTAGACAAACCGTTTTATCCAATGATCATTGTTCCATAGGTAGAAAGGGAAATAATCTATGATACATTGCCCCAAACATAAGGATAAATACCACAAAAAGGGAAGCAACGTCTCGAGTGTATTAGACCTAAAAATCTGATAGTGAATCAGTGAGTCATAAATACATATCTGTATTAATTAGTCATCGTTTTGTGGGCAGATACCCTTCACTCAGATTATCTACTTAAATAAAAAAGTGGACTAAAATATTTTAAGATTCATATCAGCTGCTTACAGTAAAAGAATGATTAAACCTCACATAAAAAGTACGAACATAATATGCTGATGTGAAGTCAATTTAAACCCATACCTCCCACCCAACAAAAAGAAAAATTCCTCTTTTTTTTATTACAGGTCCTATTTCTTTGAGTTTCTTAGACCCCCCCCCCCCTCCCCCCCGCCCACCGTCACAAACTCCCTACACATTATCAAATCACAAATTAATTAGTTTTTGTTTTAATTTTCCAGGTTTTAAAAAAATGAAATTAGACGTTTTGTATTAAGTTTAGATGAACTATTTTCAATGAAGGAAAGTTCATGTACAAAAAAAAAAGTATTACCAGCGTTTCTTCAGACATTGTTAATCGGGGAAGTGGGAAGGGTGGGGGGGGGGGGCTCTTGAAAGTTGGGGGGGGGGGGGGTCACAGAAGCAGGTGAACTCAACTTCATTTTGCCCATATGGACAGTCAGGTACGAAAAGAAACCGACAAAAAAATTGAAAGCTCGATTGCTTGTAGAGGTATCTACATCATTTCTGCAAAATGGAAGTGCACGATGCACTCACTGAATGACATTTACCCACCTTTGAATGTAGCAAAACAATAATAACAAAAAAAAAATCCCAACCCATTAGTCCTATCACAAATAACAGTTTTTACAAACTTAAAACAACAGTAACAAACACAAAAAAACGATGTGTACACGATAAACTCTCAGACACTGAGTCATTATGTAATTCAAGACAGTTTAGAACTTGTATGTTGTGTAAGCCCCCCCCCCCCCTCCCTTTACACCCACATCCACATCCACAGACATCCACAGACAGACATCCCTATGTCTAGGAGGTTCATTTTTTTCAAGGCCGTATGCCCGTGCAGTCGCACTTTCTCAAGGTTACATTGGTCGTTGGCCTCTCGCCAGGTCGAGCAAACGGGTTCTCATGATTTCTCAAGGTCGGGTTCTCATCCTTTCTCAAGGTCGGGTCTCATCCTTTCTCAAGGTCGGGTCTCATCCTTTCTCAAGGTCGGGTTCTCATCATTTCTCAAGGTCGGGTCTCATCCTTTCTCAAGGTCGGGTTCTCATCATTTCTCAAGGTCGGGTTCTCATCATTTCTCAAGGTCGGGTTCTCATCATTTCTCAAGGTCATATACACAGAGTTGTTATCGTCGCAAGGTCTAACTTATGTATTGTAACTCACTGTTATACTACTTGAAGATCACCGCTAGATTTTATCTTTCATTAGATCTCTCTTGCTCTTTTGTCAGTCCCATGTACACACAGATACATTATAGAAAGAAAAAATGTCAATTTACAATTTATATATATATATATATATATATATATATATATATATATATATATATATATATATATATATATATATATATATATATATATATATATATATATATATATATATAGGAAAATGGTATGTTCTGGCGATTGTCCGTTAAGTAAATTGACCTACGGAAAGTCGTCATTGCCGACCATCGACCCTTGGCGAAAACGACGTTTGTACAAATATTTATTGGACAAACGATCCGCACCCGTTTTTTCCCCTATAATGTGAGAAAATGTGTTGGATTAAAAAATGTACTGGATTAAAAAAAATGTAATCTGCGTGGTTGAGTTGTACGTGAGCCGTGTGTGTACGTGCACTTAATCAGGTCATTTCAATCGTGACGTTCGTCAGGTCATGTTTTAAGACAGCAGGAGTGTTGTGATACGTCGGTAATAGAGATTGGGGGGGGGGGGGGTCATAGCGTACAGGCATGATTTGTTGGGGGTAGCAGGCTCTGTGGGTTGACAAGTGTCCGGTTAGACAAGTGTCCGGATAGACAAGTGTCCGGATTGACAAGTGTCCAGTTAGACAAGTGCCCCGTTGGACAAGTGCCCAGTTAGACAAGTGCCCTGTTGGACAATCGTCCTTTTGGACAAGTGCCCTGTTAGATAAGTGCCCTACTGGAAAAGTGCCCTGTTAGACAAGTGCCCTGTTGGACAAGTGCCCTGTTGGACAAGTGTCCTGTTACCTTCTTATATAAGTGCCCTGTTAAACAAGTGCCTGTTGGACAAGTGCCCTGTTGGACAAGTGTCCTGTCGTACAAGTGCCCTGTTAGACAAGTGCCCTGTCGTACAAGTGACCTATTGGACAAGTGCCCTGTCGTACAAGTGACCTATTGGACAAGTGCCTTGTCGTACAAGTGCCCTGTTGGACAAGTGCCCTGTTAGACAAGTGCCCTGTTACCTTCTTATATAAGAGCCCCGTTGGACAAGTGCCTGTTAGACAAGTGCCCTGTCGTACAAGTGACCTATTGGACAAGTGCCCTGTCGTACAAGTGACCTATTGGACAAGTGCCTTGTCGTACAAGTGCCCTGTTGGACAAGTGCCCTGTTAGACAAGTGCCCTGTTACCTTCTTATATAAGAGCCCCGTTGGGCA